ATATATATAAGGAGTTTTACATACCTGGCCAGCGCGCTTGTCATCCCACAGTGTAATCAGCTCATTTGTTCTATTCACAAGAACAGCTCCTGCCTGTAACTGCATGCCATTGGGCAGTACATGTACACCTGCAGAGGCCACTACCCATGAGATGGCGTCTACTTTCATGTCTTCACCGCCGGTAAACGTACACCTGAGTTTGAACATGCCTTCACGTACATCTTTGACCTGAGGTACACACACGGCATCACCGGCCAGAACGGGTGTCGTTGCCAAGACAATAGGAATTTCGATTGACTCGGTCTCTACATCGATCCACTCTTCACCTACATCCTTGGTTTGACTGAACTGAAGATTATACTGCTCGCTTTGCCGCGCCAAACAGCCACTCAATGCGAGCAGAACAAGCGTGCACGTGTTCTTGAGCATTCTTTAGATTTGTATCTTTAGATTTGTATCTACGTTCTTATTGTAAGAGCTAGAATTCAGCTATATTTACAACTTACTGTTATACTATGGGCCCTGATACACTGTTACACACCAACATGCACGTGCTAATTGTGTGCACTGTTCAGTATGTAACCAATATTCCGTTCGGACGTTAAGTACGCAGCATGGGATCTCGGACTCGGACTATGTACAAATATGTAGTAAATTCCATACACGATGTTTCCAGACTTCAAAGGGGAGCTTTTATATTCACATACATACATACCTTAAATGCTTCTGGGTTTTAGGGTTTTTAGGAATTTGTCTCTTTGAAATCTGAACCAAAAATATATATAAAACGTGATATCGGTTTGATATTAAAATACCTCTGCAAGCTATTCAGTATTTATTAAAAAAAAATGCATTTTCGTGATTAGCCTCTGACCCTCTGTTCTGCTAAATATTTTTTGTTTACAGTCATCGTAATTTTTTAGCCTTGTTTTTTGTTTTGCTTTTTTTTGTCTTTTTATCCCGAACCATGCATATCCTGTTTCTTTTCAGAGGGCTGTGCCAAAACGTTTATCAATATCAAAAAAGCGTTAAAGGAGAAACTGTGATATATTGATCATAGCCTTCTAAATTATACATATTTTATATTGTAAATACATAGCTTCTAAACCATGACTCACCGTGTTGTCTTGACACTGTTTTGACATGAACATAGATGCCAATTTGATAAAAGGCTCAGCTCAGAGCCGATATTTAAATATTTACCTTCGACTTTATTTTACTTTACCTCAGGATCGATATTCAGATCGGATACTCCACTACCTGCACTTGTTTTGACCACTTCATAAGGAGAGTCCTGTGCGGGAAATTACCCTTTGGATACACCAGTGATCGTGGCATACACAGGAATCCTCTCGGAGTTTCCATTGGTACAGAGACCATCGCTCCTTGCCAACCTATTACACATATATAAAATATACATAGCCTCCAGAAATATTTTCATCAGCATATAACAACATGAGCATAGGGGAACACGACTTAGTCCAGGTCGCCACTGATCATTTTCACACGCGATATGGTGTAGAACCAACAATTGCAGCGTCAGCCCCGGGACGTATTAGCGTAATAGGTACAACCTCTAACACGCCACACGATCTTATTCGGAAAAAGTATTCACGAGTAAGGATTCCATACCTTATTACACTCGTCTTCGTATATCCTAGTCTTTCGGTTTGCGTTGGACGATTTAGATTGATAATTACATTGTGTTTATTCTATTTCAACTCGTGCGTTGTCCAGGTTTTATTGTTAGTACGATACAAGTATCTTGCACAATTGTTACGCATGTGTATTGGAATTGGGTTTCCTTGTTTACTTTCAAATGCAGAGAAATAAACTGGTTTATTCAAATGACCACAGAAAATATACTTACTCTTGTGTATATAAAGTTATGATGAAGTTGAATATGAATATATATGAATACATATAATTACAATCGTACACTCA